GAGAGAGAGAGAGAGAGAGAGAGAGAGAGAGAGAGAGAGAGAGAGAGAGAGAAATGGAGGAATCCAAAATAAATTGATATGGGGCAAGATAAAGAGTATCATGTCAAAATGATGTGTGGTCATGTCAGTTATCTTCTATACAATATGGGCACCAGAGTCCATTATGACAACCCGGGACTCTCTATAAGCTGCATTTTGATGATCATTTCACTGACCACTGACCTGAATGTATTTATCGAAAGGGTAAATACATTCACATGTTCAACTTACTAAGAAAAAGTTAAATTTTTAGAGACAACTTTAAAGCAGTAACTGCTATTTCACTTGGAGAATGTATTATTTTACTTTTTTAAAAAAAATTTTAGAATGTTCTCATTTATTTATTCACTTAAACTTATATATTAATAATGTTTATTTATATGTTTGGAATTGGTGTGTCAGGGCTATTGGAAAGTTTTGATGGTTTTATAAGTTTTAAAAGAGTTTCAATGTCCTTGGATAATGTAATTTGAATGGAGTCTTTCAAGAAACATGTTGTAATATACACTCAAATTGTTTCTATTTAATAAAATATGAAAAGCTTGAGGAAAGAATACATTCATATGGTTCAAGAAGCAAAAATAGAAAGGTGTACAATGGAGAGTTTTGATCCCTGCCCCAAGTCCATTCTGCTTCATGTCTCTTCTCTTAACAGGGAAACACTTTCAGCATTTTCTTGAGAATCCTTCTATACTTTCTCTGAACAAATGCAAGTGCATATGAATAAATACAAGAGCACAGGTGGGCACCCATACTCCGCACCTAGCTGACTTCACTTCATACTGTATCTTGGAGCTCTCTCACATCTGTTCATTGAGAGATTCCTGGTATATTTTTCTTTTAACTTCAGAGTAGCAGGTTTTATGGCATACCTTAGTGTATTCAGCTCATTTTGTTTGGTGGACAGAGGTGATTCTTTAGAACTAATACACTTGGTGCTCCATATCTGCAGATGGTTCTATATCCATGAATTCAACCAACTGCAGATCGATAATAGAGGTAGACCTATAACAGGTGCATCTTCACTGAGCACCATGGGACTTCTGTTCTTATCATTATTCCCTGAACATACTGTCTAGCAAGTACTTATATAGCATTTATATTGTACTAGTTATGGTAAGTAATTAGAGGTGATTTAAAGTAATGGGAGGTTGCGTGTAGATTATTTGTCAATATATACCATTTTATGTAAAGGACTTCAACATGCTCAGATTTTGGTATCTGCGGAGGGAGGTTTTGGTATCAATTCCCAGTGGAAACTGAAAGATGACTGTAACATGGATTTCATAGTTTAGGGTTTTGATGGCATGTATTAAAAAATGATTTTGAGTTGGGTGCAGTGGTGTATGCCTATAATCCCAGTGGCTGGGGAGGCTGAGGCAGGAGGATTACGAGTTCAAAGCCAGCTTCAGAAAAAGCAAGATGCTAAGCAATTCAGTGAGACCTTGTCTCTAAATAAAATATAAAATAGGGCTGGGCATGTGGGTGTGGCTTAGTGATTGAGTGTCTCTGAGTTCAATTCCCGGAACAAAATTTTTTTTTAACCTATTCCACTATTTTTAGTGTTATAGAAAGAATAATTTAGGCTTGACTTCAGGCAATTGATGTAATTCAGTAAAAGTAAATGCCAACTTCTTTTTTTATATACCTTTAATTAATTAATTTTTCTGTGGTGCTAAGGATTGAACCCTGTGTCTCATTCATGCTAGGCAAGCACTCTACCACTGAGCTACAACCCCAGTCCCCCAACTTCTTAATTCTTTTCTAGATACCAAGGAGGGCCGGGGATATAACTCAGTGGTAGAGTGCTTGCCTAGCAGGTGTGAGGCCCTGGCTTTGACCCCCAGCACTGCAAAAAACTAACAAACAAACAAATAAATAAAATTTAGGAACAACAACAATAAACACCAGCTACTGTTACTATCTAAACAATTATGACTTCTTCAAGATTCAGTATATCAGGATGTTCAGAGTTGAGCTTATGGCTATCACTTTGAGAAACCTCCTGTTTTAAAATTATCCAACTTGCTCTGATAACTCCAAATTCCTTAATATTTACTTCAAATTTGGACACATGGAGGCCACAGGCATGGTGGGATGGACAGGGCATTGATGGGTAGGACTAGAAAGTAAGCAGGGTCTGTCCAGGCATGAGGGACTCACTTGGGTGAAGGTAGCCCTTATTTTTCAGACACATGGACACAGCATTTTTATTCTGGGAACCATTTAGAAACAGAGTCCTGTCAATAGTAAGAAGGATGATGATTAGCGTTAGGCACCTGGAAGGAGAGAAGAGCCACAGCTAGGTTGGTTGCTAGGCAATAGGGAACCATTACTATTTTTTAAAGCAGAGAAGTGATATAATTCAATTGTATCCAGCAGCGGTTAAAGATAGTGATTGAGGAGACAAGATTGCAGGTGGAAAACTACTTTTTTTGAGGCTATTATAATCATGAGAGTGAAAAACAATAAGGACATGAAGACATCAGTGAAGTTAGAGGAAAAGGAATGCGTAGGAGAGACATTTAGCAGGTAATGCTCACAGGACATGATTATGGACTAAAGATGAAGATTGAGGGAGAAGGCTGATCTGGGTGGCGTTTATGTATCCATTAAGTCATTCAACAAAAAGTGATTGAACATCTGTTAAATGACTGGTTCCAAGTTAGCTTTTGGAGGCAGAGAAGTGAAATGTACCATTTGAGGAAGGCAATGATTAATAAGTAATTGAATAATCAAGATGATTATACATTATAATGAGAGCTGTGCAGAAAAGAAGTGGTTGTTTGCTCATGTTCCTTCACAGGGAGCCTCTCCCCAGCTCCAGTCCTTGACAACTGCCAATTTGTTTAAGACCTTCATAATTTTGCCATTTCTAGAATTTCCTCTAAGTGGAATCATATGATATGTAATTTCCTAAGACTAACCTCTTTCATGTGGCATAATTCATTTGAGATTCACTTTATTGTTGAGTAGCATTCCATTGTATGCATTTACCATGGTTGTTTAATCCATACGTCAGCTAAAACATGGAAGTTGTTTCAGATATTGGAAAACTTCTTGGGAAATTTCGTTGATTTGATTGAAATGTTTATTCAATGTCTTAATTGTGATAATGGTTACAAATCTCCATGTTGAATGAAACTCATAGCTGGATGCTAAAAGATGAAATTCTTCTCTATATAGATTTTGCTTTAACAAATCTTACATTAAAATAGCTTACATATCAAACACTTTGAAAAAAGATAAGAATATGAAAGATGAGAAAAAAGTAAATTAATGAGAGTAACCTGGGAAACAGAAGATTGGGCCTATTTAAATGTGGAAGACAGGGACGATGTCTCTGAGGAGTTGACAGTCAGCCTGAGATATGTGTATTAGGTGTGTTCAGAAAAGAGAAAAGAGATGAGCGTATCCAGAAGGAAGAAAAGAGTAGAGTGAATTCAGAAACAAAGCAAGCAGGTTCCAGATTAGGAAGAACTTTCTAAGTTAGAATGAAAAATTTTTAGTTCTATCCTAAATTCAAGGGGAAGCCATTGAAGAGTTTAGGTAGGCCTGTTACTCTTTTCATTTACTTTAAAAAAATTAAAACACTAAATTAAAAACACTAATTGTTGTTTAGATAATTAATTGAAGGGGGAACAAATGAGAAAGCTGGGGGACTACAGTGAAAAGTCCAAGTGGAAGAGGAAGGGGCCAAGTGAGGCTGATGATGGAGAAGATAGAGATGAGTGTGTGTGTGTGGGGGTGGGGTGGGGGGGTGTTGGGTATCATTTTTGGATGGACATAACCAGCAAGATTTGCTAATAGTTAAGATATGTGGGTCAGGGATCCAGGACAAGTCCTGATTTTTGGCTTGAACAGACAGGGTGAGTACACAACCAGAAATATCAAAAATTGTGCCCTATATGTGTAATAAGAATTTTAATGCCTTCTGCTGTCATATATAAATAAAAAATAGATAAACTAATTAATTAAAAATTAATTAATTAATTAAAAAAGAGAGAGAGTCAGGGTGATGGTTTTTCCATTTACTGGGTTGGATTATTATTGAGTGAAGACCTGTTTTAAAGAAGAAAATACAGAGTTCAATAAGACCTAG